CAATTTTTCCCAACTTGATCTGTAGAGTCAACACAATCCCGATCAAAATCTCAGTAAGTTATTTTGTGAATATCGACAAACTGATCTAAAGTTTCTAGGGAAAGACAAAAGACCCAAAACAGCCAACACAACGCTGAAGAAGAACAGAGCTGAGGACTAGCACTATCCAACTTCAAGACATTATAAAGCTACAGTAATCAAGACAGCGTGGCCTTGGCGAAAGAACAGACAAACACATCAACAGAACAGAATAAAGAGCTCAGACACAAATATAGTCAACTGATCTTTGACAAAGGAGGAAAGGAGAAACACTATCCTTCAATGGAGAAACGACAGTCTTTTCAACAAATGGTGCTAGAACAACTGGATATCCATTCGCAAAAAAAAAGAAAGAAAAAAATAATCTAGACACAGACCTTCTACCTTTCACAAAAAATAAGTCAAAATGGATCATAGACTTAAATGTACAATGCAAAATTATAAAACTTGTAGAAGATACTATAGGAGAAATTCTAGGGTCTAGGTTTGGCAACAAGTTTTTAAATACAACCAAAAGCATGATCTATCAAAGAAAAAATTTGATAACTTGCACTTTATTAAAATCAAATACTTCTGCTTTGCAGAAAACGCTATTGAGAATGAAAAGATAAGCCACAGACTTGGAGAAAATCTTTGCAAAACACATATCCAATAAAGGACTTGTATTCAAATATAGAAAGATTTTAAAAACTCAACAATAAGAAAACAAAACACCCAATTTAAAAGTGGGCACAATTTCAACAGACAAAAAAGAAGATATACAGATGGCAAATTAGCATACGAAAAGATGCTCAACATAATATGTCTTTAAGGAAATTGCACACTGAAACGATGAGATACCGTTACACATCTCCTAGACTGGCTAAGATCCAGAACACTGACACCACCAAACGCCGGCAAGAATTCGGAGCAGCAGGAACTCGCGTCCGCTGCTGGTGGGAACGCAAAACGGTCCAGCCTCTTCGGAAGAGAGTTTGGCAGCTTCTTACAAAACTAAATGTAACCGCACCATATGATCTAGCAACCGTACTCCTCCATATTTACCCAAAGGAGCTGAAAACTTATGTCCACAGAAAAACCTGCACACGAGTGTTTATAGCAGCTTCATTCGTAATTGCCCAAACTGCAAGCAACCAGGGAGTCCTTGAGTAGGCGAGTGGATAAATATGGCGTGGGACATCGAGACAGTGGAATAGTCTTCAGTGATAGAAAGAAATAAGCCGTCAAACCACAAAAAGATGTGGAGTAAGCTTAAAGCATGTCACTAACTGAAAGAAGTCAGTCGTAAGAGGCTCTATACTGTCTGATTCCAATGAAAAGAAAGGGGGAACCTTAACGTAAACTCTAGACTTTAGTTAACAATAACGTATTAATTATCAGTTCACTAATTGCAAGAAACGTACCACATTGGTGCAAGATGTTAATAATAGGGGAAGTTACATGCGGGGGGGACGGTATATGGGAGCTCTGTACTATCAATTTTTCTGTAAATACACAACTCTTCTAAAAATTTTTAATTAATTTTCTAAAACCTGAAAGACAGGCTTGAAAACACGTAAGTGTGTTGTAAGGTCATGTGAGCCAAGCCTGTATGGAGGCAAGACTTGGGAGCCCCCCGGGTTGAGGGCCTGAGTTTTCCTCTGGGGCCTCCAGGTCCCTCTCCCAGGCCTGGCGCAGGGCAGCCACAGGCAGAGTTTGCACAACTAGGGCATGAGCTTGAATACTGGGGTGTATGTGAGATGACAAACTCCACATTTGTCACCTCTCTGGGGCCTCACAATGCCCCGTTTTCTCTAACTCTCATTTTGACGTAATTTCAGACTTCCAGAAAAGTTGCAAGACAAGTTCAAAGAATTCCCGTATTTCCTTCCTCCAGATTTCCCAAATGTGCTCACACCCAACCACATCTGCTCTATCCTTTCCTGTCTTCAGTGCTATTTTCAACCCCATTTTACAACCAGGCAAAGAGGCCGAGGGCACAGGCTCTGACTGGGCTCCTTTCTCTTCTTGGTTCCGGTGAGAACAACAGTTCCCACGTGCTGAGCTGGGCCATGCGTTGTTCCAAGTGCTTTGCGTGTTTCCTCGTCCTTCCTCACAGGTCCCCCGAGGGCTCCATCAGCATCCGCACCGCGCAGATGGGAAGCTGAGGCACAGGGACTGAGCCACTCTGCCCAGCGTCCCACAGTCAGTAAGTGGCGGGGCTGGTCTGCAGACGCAGGAGGTCTGGTGACAAGTGAGGAAAGAGCCAAGAATGACTTAAAAACAGGGTGGCAGGCCAGTTTGGGAGGCCAGGAGGGCAGGCAGCCCAGGCCACACGTTGGCAAAGTAAGACCTGCTGTGGGCTCCAGATGAGACCAGGGCAAACTCAGAGACACCGAGGCACGGCGAAAGGAGGTTTCGCCGTGACGAGGGGAAGCTTGTGGCGTTAATTCAAAACTGTCCCGGTTCAAATGCCAACTATGAGTGTGTAAGGGAGTGGTGCGTGTGCACGTCTATGAGTTTGAGTGCATGTGTGTGTGAACGTGTGTGGACATGACTGTGAATATGTGGGGTGTGAAGATGAAGGTGTGTGGCTGTGAACACGTGGTATGTCAGCACACGAGTGTGAGTGAGCGTGAACGTGTGGGTGAATGAGTGTATGTGTATGAGTGTGAATGTGTGTGGAGAGATGAGTACGGGAGTGCAAGCGTGTGTGAGTGTGCAAGCAGATGAGCGTCAGTGTGTCTGGGCAGGGGAGGACATGGACATGGAGATGGGTGAGCGTGCAAGTGCGCGAGCTGCTCCGGGCAGGAAGAAACCTTTCTTAGGGAACCTGCCCGCGCAGCCGCGGTGCCCATGTCGCCGCCACCCTCCGGAGGCCCAGGCCTCGGCCTCCCCATGCCCTTTCCGCGGCGGCCGGGTCTGGAGGCCGGGATGCAACTGCTCCGGCCGCTGACTGTCAGGTGCCACCCGACACCCAGGCTCAGGGAGCAGGGCAGGGCCTAGTCCTCACTGTCCCCGGCCCAAGTCAGGACCCAGTGCAGGGCAGGTCAATAAACAGACGCCGAATAACCCTAGTTTTTCCACCCCCCATGCCACACTCACCTCCAAGTGTTTGCTCATGTTGTCCCCTCCAGTGCCTAGCCCCTCATCCCTCACTTTTCCCCACTGACCCTTGGAGGCACCGTCAGAGGCCACCTCCTCCAGGAAGCCATCCTTAACGCCTGGGGCCAGAGTCCACTGTACTGTCACGGAGCTGAGGGTGGGTAGCTGTCTTGCCTACTTGGCTGTAAGGTCTCAGAGGGCAGGCCTGTGTCTGTTTCATCTTCGGCTCTGCGGTCTCAGGACGCCTCGAAGGGTCAGGGTACAGGAGGGCCAAGGAGGCGTGAGCGAGGGAAGGCTAAGGAAGAGAAGCAAGCACAGCGGCTGCCCCTCCCCTAGGAAGCCAGGCCTCACAGCTTTGCAACAGCCAGCTTGCCCTCCTCCACAGCAACCCTACTGGGCTGTCATGGCTCCTAGGAGCTCGCCTCCCCACTGAGGCTCCTCCAGGGGAAGACGGGGTCAAACTACTCTCTGAATCCCCAGCACTGCTCAGCCTGTGTCTGCACACCTCCTGTTGCATGTCCATCCTTCTGCTCTCTCCTCCTCTAGGCTCTCCAGCCAACCCAGCGGTCAGGCAATGCCTCAAACATGCTAAGTTGGTTCCCACCCCAGGGCCTTTGCACTTGCTGTTCTTGGTCCCTAATCTAGTCCTCCTGCATATCCTCTGCAGGTTCTCAGCTCAAACGTCTCTTCCTCAGGGACACCTTCCAACCACCAGCCCCACTGGCCTGATACGTCCCTCTCTGTTTTACTCTCCTCTTGGGACCTCTGGTTACCTGAAATACTTTATTCATTCAGTGTTTTTCCCTACCTTCCGGCTGCATCAAGGGCTTTCATGGTGTCCACTGGTTAGAGGTCTAATGCCACATCTGCTGCATGATTCTGAGTAAGCTTCTGTGCCTCAGTTTCCCCGTCTATAAAATGAGCGATAGTAACATAGTTCCCTCATAGGGAAGGTGTGAGGATTAATTGAGTCAATAGATGCAGCGCTCTGGAACAGGGCCTGTCAGATTGTCCCAGCTGTCGACGAAGGGTTGCTTTACCGTCGACATCTCCTGGAGCCTAGCAGGTAGTAGGCGCTCAGGAAACATCTGTGGAGGCTCCCGACACACGGGCACTTACCAGCAGTTGGGCTGGTGGGAAGGGGAGAAGGACTCAAGTGGACAACCCGGCAGCCCCAAACCCACCCGCGCTGCGGACGGAGCGAGGCCCGGGCCGGGAGCTGGGACTGTACTCAGAGCCAGGGGGAACTGCGGCCTTCGCCGCGGGGGCGGGACCTGGGGCGGCTTCGGGGAGACGGCGAGGCAGGGTGCCCGGGTGCTCCCCGGGAGAGGACGGTGGCCCGCACTGCAGGGAGCAGCGGGGCCAGGGACCGGCACGCGGAATCGGGCCCCGCGGGGTAAGCGGGTTGCGCTGGCGGTGGGGAGGGGGGCCCGGGGTGCGCGCGGGGGCGGCAGGTGCACGCACGGCTGGGTGGGGGCGCACGCTGGGGAGGCGGGGGCGCGCGAGGTGGGGGCGGGGGCGCACGGAGGGGAGGAGGCGGGGTTCCAGCGGGGGGTCGGGGGCAAGCAGGGTGCGCGCGGGGTCTTGGGGTGCGCGCAGTGGGGGCGGGGTCCGCGCGGGGGCCAGAGGGCGCGTGCAGGGGAGTGGAGTTGCGCGCCGGAGCCAGGGGGCGCACGCGGGGGGAGGCAAGGTGCGCTCAGTGGCCAGGGGGCGTGCACGGAGGGGAAGGGCCCGCTCGGGGGCGGCGGGGCGCGCGCGGGGGCGGTGCATGCAAATCCACGGCGCCGGGGCGGGGCGGGCCGTTGCCGGGGAGGGGAGGGGCGGGGCGCAGGAAGCCGGGGCAGGCTGGGTCCCGCGCCCAGGAAAACCCCCGCGCGGCGCTGCCGAGCCTGGCTGCCCTGGATCCCGCACTTCCCGCTCGGGCGCTGGACGGCGAATGGGCCAGGGGCGCGCAGGTAGGACCCGGGGCGCGCGGATCGGAGGCGGGGGGTGGATCGCCCCGGGCACGCGGCGGGCGTCCGGGAAGGGCCGGGCCTCCAGGGGGACCTCGGGACCGCCCCGACCCGCTCGGGGAACGCCCGCCCGCCCGCCCGCCCGCCCGCTCGAGGCCCAGAGCCTGGAGCCCGGAGCCTGGGCTTCCCCGCGCGCGGAGCGGCGGCCGGCTCGGTCCCTTTCGCCCGGGGGCAGCCGGGGCGCGGAGCTGGGAAAGCTGGCTCCCGGCGCTCAGACCCCCGGCGCGCCCCCGACACTCGTGCTGTTCCAGAGAGGTCAGCGGGGACGGCCTGTGGGGGCTCAGGGACGTCGTGAGCGTGGGTGAGGCCGTCTCGGGCCGCGCAGCCGGCTCTCGGGGCTGTCCCCGTACCCCGCGCATAGGAAGATGGTGAGGCTTTCGGGGAGAGGAAGGGTGGGGAAAGTTCTGAAAACTGACAAGTTGGATACTAGGTCAAGTGATCCGGGGAAACAAGGTCCTTTCTCCCTGTGGTGTCTTCGTCTGAATGTTGGGTGGACCCGATCATTTACTGGGACTTATTTTAGGCAGGCTCTGTCCTGGAAAACATTGGAAGTATTCTGAGTTAAATCTCAGAAAAACCTTTCTGGTCGGTGCTGTGTCTATATCGTGGCCATTTTGCAGATGGGGACGCTGAGGCAAAGGCGGCTTAAGTAACTGGAAAGTGCGGAGCAGGATTTGAACCCAGGCGGTCTGACGCTAGAGCCCCCTGCCCTCCGCCTGTCAACAGGATTTGTCAAACTACCCCAATAAACGAATTCTCCGGGGAATTGGATTAAAATGCAGATTCTCAGGCCCCCTTCGTGAGGTTTAGATGTAATAAACCCAGGAATCTAAACTCTTGTGTTTTTTTTTTTTAAAAAAAAAAAAAGCCAAAATCTATATTTCTTATAATCAGGAGACACTGGGGACCAGCAAACTCGGTGTCCCCTGCCAGGATTCACACATTGGCCAGGCCAGCTCTAATCCTGCTTGAGTCCTGGTCTCTGCCCTTCCCCAGCCCTCCGCGAGCTGTGTTTCCCTGCAGCTCCTCCCCTCTGGTGGCCTTTCAGGAGCCGGGCTGTTTGCTGGGACATCAGTGTCTTTATTAAAATCCTAAAGTGCAGTGGGGAAACTGAGGCTCAGGTGTATATTTGGCCAGGGTGTCCCGCAGTCAGGGGATTTCAGAGTTCTGCAAAGGCCGTTTGAATTCAGTTACGTGACCCGTGACTTTGGATGAGGATGCTGAGGTGTGGAATGGGAGATGACTGGCCCCGGCCATTTGTTCACTCACGAGCCCTTGGGTGCGGTTCCTGGCGCTGGTGTTGCCCTCAAGGGGCTCTCCCTCTGCAGGGAGCTCTGAGTGGGGAAGAACCACAGTGGGCGTGATCAGCTCTCCATGGGGCAGCAGGACAGCCTTCATGGAGGGGCCCCTCTGAGCCAGCCTTGGAAGGGGAGTAGAGGAGCTCAGCAGGTGGAGAATGGGAGGGAAAGGCATGCTGAGCACCCAGAACAGCATGGCTAAAGACTGGGAGGTGTGAAAGGGCACTGCGTGTGGCACTTAGGGAGCAGGGAGAAGCTGGAGATGGGTAGAAAGGTGGGCCTGGCTGCACTGTGGAAGGCCTTGAATGCCATGCTGAGGCGCGTGGGCCAGTGTATTTTACCTTTTCGTGAGCTGTAAGAATCACAATGCAGATTCCTGGGCCCCACCCTGGACCTCCGGAGGGAGGCAAAACACTGGTGAGTTGGCTTGATTACAACACACCCAGTTACCAGCAGGTCTGGGATGACCTGAGAAGTTCCAGATTCCAGGCAGTGACTCAGCAGCTGGTGGGTTTTGTACGTGGCGATGATTGCAGAAAGCCCAGGCACGGTGGGGGGCTGCCCTCAAGGCATTCGGTTTCCTGATGCTCAGATTTAGAAAAGGAGCTGGCATGACGTGTCAGAGAAGTGAGAAGAAAGAACCTTTCCTGGACCCCACCCACCCTCCTATCCCCTGCCCTCAGGATGGAAGAGAGAGTGGGGATCTCAAGGCCCACTGCCCTCAGCGGCCCTTGGTGGCGCCTAGGAGGGGGCAGGGACAGGAGCCCCCCGGGGCTTTGCTTCCTCACGTTTGTAAAACTGGGCTGTCTTGAGGGTCAGTGACATCACGTCTTATAAGATACCTAACATAATTCCACGCCATGTCTGTCCACGTTAAATGCTCGTGCCTGCTGTTACCCGTCAAGAAGTAGACTAGAGGCTCAGAGCATGGACTCTGGAGCCGGGCGGCCAGGCTCAGAGGCTGGCTTTGCTGCTTTCCGTGTGACTGACTTTTCCCGACCTCGTCTCCCTCGGCGAAACTGCAGCGACTGCCGTATACCATTGTAGTGCTGGTGGGACGAATGGGTGGAGGTCAGGCACACAGCACACTGCCTGTAGGGTGAGCACTGTGTTTGCTACATATGTAAATGAGCCCCATTGGATGGGATTTAGTCTCCCCGTTTTGCAGGCGTGGAAACTGAGACCCAGAGACGGGTGCAGTGGTCTTGCCTAAGGTCCCACATGTAGGTGTGACAGAGGGAGGGGGTTGCCCCTGCTTTCCTTCCCAGCCTGTGTTCTTCCCGCTGTGCCAGTCTGCTCAGTGACCAGCAGGGACATCTTTCCAAGCACTGCTCATGGCAGGCACTGTGGAGACAGGCCTGGCCACGTTTGGCCAGACTTCCCTTGGCTAGGCTAGAAGAGAGGCCCGCAGCTTGCCTGGACGTTGTACAAACTTGCCCTTGCAAGAGTATGGATCGGAGAACGCCAGCGGAGGCTGGAGGGCCCTGCAGGGCCGGGGAGCCAGCATCAGATGGGCCAGATCTCTGCTCATCATCAGATGGGCTGTATTCGCAATGCTCTGCTGTGTGACTTCCAGCAAGTCATTCTCCCTCTCTGAGCCTGAGGAGGAGAGAAGGGCACAGGCTTGGAGACGGGGGCACCAGGTTCAAATCTGAGCTTGTTGCTTCCTATCTGTGTGATCTGTAGGAAATTGCTTAACTCTCTGAGCCTCAGGTTGCTTGTCGGTAAAATGGGTATTTGGCTGGGGGAGGTGTGCATGAGGTAGTTCTCACCGGGCTCCTTGCCCGCGCCTCAGTGATTGCTCTTTCTCTCCCCATTGAGGACGGTCACTTCCCCGCATCCAGCCCCTGGCTTCTTCATTCACTTCTCCCTCAGATATTTATTTAGTACCTGTGTGTGCCAGGTGCCAGCATGGAGCAGGAGCAGAGGCCTCCCTCTCCTGGACTTTAAACTCTGGTCTAGAAGACAGGCAGACACAAGCAGACAGACAGACACAGAGCCGCACCCCTATTTCTAGTTCTGAAATCCACAAGCTCTGGAGACCGGAAGTGTCTTGAGTCCCTGGGAAGCCAGAGGGGCCGGGAGCCAGTGGCAGGCTCTTTGGGGTCTCTGTCCTGCAGGCATGGGTGCTCCGTGCCTGCCGCTCTGGCCCTGTGGGGGGGGGGGGGCTGATTCTGTCCGGGCGTCTTCTCCAAGACAACCTTTCCATATCTGAGCCCTGAAGCCGGCCTGGCCCAGGATGTCACCCAGGGGACGGGAGCTGCAGTGTCCTGTCAGGGGTGATGGAGCCGGGGTAAGGGTGGAGGGTGAGGGCGGAGTCGGGGAGCCTCTCTGGGGGGCGTTTGCAAAGAGAGGGGCGCAGGCTGGCAGGGTGGGCCGGCTGGAGGGAGGTGCAGGGCGCACGCAGCGGGCCTGGCCCACCCCACCGCCCTGCCCACCCCGCTCTGCAGCACCGTTGTGTCTAAACGCGATCTTCGCCTTCCAACAAGCCACGCTGCCTCGCAGGTTTCAGCCCCGGCTCCGACTGACTCATTCTCACTCGGGGCCCAGGGGCTCTGCACCTCCTCCAAGGGGTTCCAGAATCCGGGGTCTGCACCCCAGCGGGCCTGGGTGCTGTGACTCGGCGCTGGGGCCCAGCTGAGTCCTCCTTCCCCCTGCAGGGGAGAGGGTGCAGGAGGCCCTGATGAGGGCGAGGTGCCGGCCCGGTGGTGGGACGGGGCTCCCCCGGGCAGGTGCAGCGCCGAGCCGCCCCCCGCGGAGCAGCGCGTCTAGAGTGCCTGCGCCGGGCGCCTGGCTCGTCCTCAGCGAGCGTGCCCGGGGCCGGGGGCGCGGGGTGAACAGCAGGGCGGTGGGCGTCGTGGAGCTGGTGGTCTGCGGGGAAGCGCCTCCGGGGAGGTGTCGGAGTGAACGCTGCAGGAAGAAGGCCTGCGGGTTCCCGGAGGGCAGGCCCTGAGCCGCTCCCGAAAGGACGGGATTGGGAGGAGCAGAGCAGGGGCAGGAGCGGAGGTCAGCGGGGCACGGGAGCCCGACGCCCGCACTGCTCCAGGCGACTGCACCATGACCCCGCGGGACGGGAACTGCCGGCCGGTGTTGGACGGAGGGAGAAACAGGCACAGAAGGTTCTGCCTTTTCCGAGGAGGAAACGGAACTCCTCTGGAGGGGAGACGCCTGCTCTTTGGGCCGGCAGCCCGCTCAGCCCGCGGAGCCACAGCCTCCTGACAGTTTTCCTCGAGCGGCCGAGCGCAGTCCTTCCAGAAGCCGGGTTCCTAGAGCTGCACAGCTCTAACCCGGAGAAAGTCTCCCCTGAGACTTAGCCAAAGGAGCTTTCCAGGAGCTTTCACTGTCTAGCACTGGTTCTGCCCCTTGGAGGTAGTAACCATCTCCCTCCAACCCCACCCCAATAGTTCTCTTACTCAGACTATAAACCATAGTTCTTTCAGTCGTTGGTCCTGCCTCAGGGAATTGTAAAGATTTCAGTCTGGCTTTGGACATGATCCAGTTGGTCAGAGTCCCACATAAAACCCATTGCCTCCTCCAAAACCTGCCCAGTCAGAGAGGAGGGAGACTGTCACCTCCTTGGGTTCGGAGCCAATACCTCTATTGATGCAACCTGCAATCGTACTTTGTAGTGGCCACCACTTAGGG